CTTTCCTCCTCCCGCCGCTTCCCTCCCTCCTCCCTCCGCCCTCCTCGCCGCCTTCCTCCGCCTCCCGGGAGGGACCTCGCCGCCCGGGGCCGCCCCGCGCCAGCAACGCCTTGAAGGGACCGGTCGTGGCTATCGAGTCCCTCCCCCATGACGCGTGACAGGACCCCAACCCTAGGACCTCAGTTTCATGTCCCGCCCCCATCTGGCCAGTCTGGCACTAGTGGCAAGCCCAATGTCGCTGAGCGCCAGCGGCTCCACCTGGACCACGGGGCCCTCCCCTTCACTCCTTCCCTGAAGGCCCCTCCCCCTGGGTCCCCCAGTTGGTTGGATCAGGGGCTGGGGCAGGCTGGTCAGCAGCAGCGAAGTCCAGGAAGGAAGTACCTTTAGTGGTGGAGCTGGCAAGGTCACTGGGGAGCTGCCAGTGGGCCACTCCAAAGCTGTGGCCACATGGCCAGAGGACAGAGGACGGGGTGAGTGGAACCCAGCAAAAGTCAAACTGCTTGAGATGAGATGGCAGTGGGAGTCAGCAGAGCCCGACTGGCTTAGGGGTCCCTGAGGGAAGGGGGCTGGGTAGGGTCACCCCCAGGGTGGGGTTGGGCAGCTTGGAGCCAAGGTCCAGTGTCTACGGTCCTACTCTGGCTGCCACTGATGCTGGGGCTGGGCTGGCACAGGTCAGAGGCCTGTGAGCGCCATCTCGGACAGCAAAGAGCCCCCGAGGCACTGGCCTGTTGAGTCCTTCCTTCCGTGATGGTAGAAAGCCGGGTCACCTGGCTGCCTGGGGACAATTAATCTTGGCTCAGGAGCGGGTTTCACAGGGAGAAGGGACACCATTCTGTCTGTGCGCAGCAGCCCTCACTGGGGAGGGTCCAGCTTTCTGCTGCACGGGGCCCACAGGTTGTGGAGAACATTGGCTTTGGCTCCCCCTGGCTTTGCGGCAGCCATCAGAGGTGCTGAAGGCAGGGCCAGAAACTCAGAACAAAGCAGAGGTGAACAGCAGCATCTATTTATTGGACAGCTCCATGTCCTCTCCTAGTAGGTGCAGCCCATTGCTTTATTTGAGTATCTGTACAGTCCAGCCAGTTAGGGGAGAGGAAAGGAAAAGGCAGGTGCAACTGAAAGAGACAAGCATGTGGGAAAATGTACTATAGACCGTTTATTTTTGGTGGAAGGAAAAAAAGAACTTTAATATCCCACTCATTAGTAAAAGTGGGATAGGAAAACTGTTCTTAATCTGGTATTTATGTATATATTCTCATTTAATATGTACAGTTTATTTGGGCAAGACTACCATCCACCGGCAGAAAACTTGAACGTAAAAACAAGTATCAGGAAGGAAAACTATTAACAAAAGGAAGAAGCTTCAGAAGATGGCTTCAGGAGGGTGGCGGCGTGCAGGGCCTGGGCTGGTGTCAGTAGAAGCAGACCGTGTGCAGAAAAGTCCTGCCACTCTTCTCCTCAAACTCTTGCAGCAGCTCGTCGATCTCGTTCTCCATGTCTTCTGTGTGCTGAATCTGGCAAGAACAGCAAAGCCGGTAAGCGACACACAGTGGTGCTCAGAGCAGCACAGCCCTGCAGCTTGGAGAGAGTGCTGTCCCAGCCCCTTCCTGAAGCTGCGTCTTCAACCACACAGACACCTGATAGCCAAGGGGGACCAGCCTGGGCCCCAGCACCCAGGATTGCTAGAAGGCCCACACCAAACTGCCTCTGCCCTGATGCCAGCCGAGGCTCCAGAGATCGGGAGAG